AAAGATTACATTTGTATGGGAATTTGTCGTATGTGCCACATACGACAAACGTTTTATGATTAAAAAAAAGGTACGTTTGTATGGGAATTTGTCGTATGTGACGCATTTTCAGCACATACAACAAAAGGCATACCCAATCATTAATATTATGTAACATACGACAAAATGCGCACGAAATATCTCAAAAACTAATGGAGATATAAAAAAATGGATTGCAGAAATCGAAAGAGCATGTCCAACTTAGTAAATCTGCATCAAAATCCCAAAATCGTGATTTTGCACATTCGTCATCCGTTTTCTGAGGCGACGTTATGTTTTGAACGACTAGGAATTTTTTTGATGGGACTTAATAAGAATATTGACTTGCTAGTATCGGAACTATTTATTGAACGTTTATTGGCCAAAACTTCTTCAACTGCTCAGCCCCAGTGAGTCATTCGCAATCGTATGCTGCGAATGCCGATTTATACTAAAGCCAACCTTTCGACATAAGCTACTATTCCATACGAACNAAATGTTTGCAAACAAATTTGTTTGTATTGTATAATTTATAAAATATTGTTTTGGAAATATTGAGTTTTTAACAGCCAATTTCTTGAGTGAAATATTAATTTAATTTATGGAATTTTATATAGAAATTTACTGAAAAAAAAAATTCCATTTAAATTGCTGGTGAAACCGTCTGAAAAAATAACATGCAAAACTTTTTGTTCCCAACAAAAGCGCGAATTCCAATTTTATACTATTATACAAATATATATTATACTGAAAGTTCTTTGTCCCAAAAATTACATTTGCCACAAAACAGCTTCCAAAAGTCTGCTTCTCTGTTTTTAAACTGACTATGGCTAAAATTTCTAAATGCTAAAAATTCTAAAGAAATTTCAAGTTTCTTTTGTCCTAAATATGATATTTGCTGCGAAATCACTTTGGAGCATGATTTTCTTATTCTTTAAATCAAATGCGTTAAAGTTAAACACCGACAGGTGCAATCCCTAAAGCGACTTCGACGACATCAGACCGCATGGCTAAGCCTCCGGTCTCTGAGGTGCGCCATTCTGGCACTAATGTTGCCCTGGGCAGTAGCCATCCCCAGAAGCGTCAAAATGACGAGGTGTGCGGACCAAAGGTCAGCTGACCTCTACACATCGGCAATCGGTCGCGTCGGGTTGCGGGAAGACCTTCCCAATAGGCCAAGATCCAGGGCGTGGATCCCAGACTTCTACACCGACCCACAGGAAGTGCTGAAATGGATTCGCATGGGCAACCCTGAGCTACCTACCCATGATTGGAAGGTAGCAAAGATAGGCGAAATCGACGGTAAGCGAAGGCCAATATAGGTGACACTCCCTCCTTCGGGACATCTGTTAGAAGGGAAGTCCTTGACATAACATGTGTCAATGAACAGGGGGCAGAACTTCTGAATGACTGGAGAGTCCCTAAAGACAACCCCTTTTCGGACCATGTGTATGCCTAACGCTACCAATAAAGAAACAAAAAGCGGTCTTGAAAACAGATTGGAAAAAGTTTTAAACAACCTTTTCTAAAAGCCTTGCTGACCCCACTACCCAGATAAACTCAAAACCTAAACTTCATAAGGTCGTTGATAACCTAAATAAAGTATTCCAACGTGCGGTGAAGGTAGCCTGCCCGACCAGGGCTACAAGTAGCATACCAAGACCTTCATGGTGGCCGACTGAAATCGCAACACTCAGAAGGGAATGTAGATCAAATTTTAACGAAGCAAATATATGCAACTCTTGGAGCGAATTTAAGGACTGTCAACGCCGTTTTAAGTATGCAGTCAGATATGCTAAGCGCTCCCCATGGAGAAACTTCTGTCAAAAGATAGAAAGCTCTTCCGAGGAAAGCAGACTACGTAAGATACTATCAACGTGTCCTAGAAATATAAGCTACCTCATCAAGGAAGATATGGATTGGAACAACACCATCCAAGGAACTGTATGCCCTACTGAACTATCTTTCGGTTAATCTACATGCCAAACAAGTCGCAAGCGTTACGGTAATTCGTATGAATAGTTTAAATAAGTGGTCAAACACCAGTTATGGTCACAGTACAATACTAACGGAGTTATCGAAGCTTCCCGGATTGATGGACTGCGCCCTTCCCAACTCTGCTCCCACTACAGCGTTTACGACCCTCCTACCCTAAAGGGAAGAGTAGAACAGAGGCGCTCTAAGTAGTGGCGAATCCATTCATATATACACAGATGGCTCAAAGCTCGAAGGAAGGTTTGGTAGGGGTGTATACTTCGAACACCTGGGAATCTCCCTTAGCTTTCGTCTTTCGGACCACTGTAACGTCTTTCAGGCGGAACTGATGGCAATCGACCAAGCCACAAACCTTGGTAAAGTGTGATATATTATCCCAAGCTGATATCTACATCTTCACTGACAGCCAGACGAAGACTCTTCACACTGGGTAGGCAATTCTTCGATAACCTGGAGGACCTTAGATGCGTCGAAATCAAGGATCTTCTAAAATTCCTGCGAACCTCAAAATGGTTTTAGGAGAGATTGGAAGTTAGGTACTGACCCCAAAACAAACAAAATTCATTTCAATAAACAATTTTATATTATTTTATTGGTTTATAAATTTCATACTTATATTTTTATTGTAGTTTAAATATTTTAACTAGTCATTTATGATATGCTTATGCTTTTTTTGTTTTTGTTTTTGAAGAGGAAAACACTTTTTATGCATTTTGTAATTAATATGTTAAAAAACAGCGAATTTTAATATTTGTTTTAATATACTAAATTTAAAAATATTTTTGTTCGATTTTATTTTATTTTTTTTGTATTTATTTAATAAGTATATATGTAAACAAACGGCGCAGCGCATTAGAATAGAAAATGTTGGTTATATACATACATACATACATATATATACATACATATGTATGTATGTATGTATGTACATGTATGTACTTCTAAATTTGTCAATATCTTCTTTTGCAAAAGGGAGTTATTTAGTAAATTGCGAGCAATTTTTTTATTTTATTTTTTTATTTGGCGGTGAAACTTTGAGATAGTAGGAAGTATTAGAATAAAAAAGTTGTTTATAGTTTAATAGAGTGTAGAGATAGTGTGGAGAGAGTGGAAAGTGACGCATTAGGCGGATTGTGGAAATAGGCAAATTTGTGAAAAATTCTTTTTTCTACAAATATACTTACATATGTATAACAAAACTGGTTTGCAATTAATTTTTATTTTAATTAGAAATATTTTTTTAATTAACTAAACTATATTGTTGGTCTTAAAATAGTTTCGTTTTATTATTAATTTTATACATTTTGAAACATTTGTTCGTGTAAATTTTGGTTATAATTCTTACAAACATATATGTATAGCTACAGCTGTAGAAGAGGTTATGTATATATATGTATGTATATGCAAATATGTATGTACCCAATTTGGAAAAATTATTTTTTAGTTAAGCTACATTAATTTGTGGAATCTCTTTGGGTTTCGATTGTTAAAATATTAATTTATTTTTAATATTTTCCAAGGGTATGTCTAGTTATAAACGCGTACAAGTACATAAATGTTATTTTATATGTTTATACAAACACATATGCATGTATGTAATTAATCATTGATACAACGTACATACATATGTACATACGTATGCAATGTTTTTTATGGATATAGAAATTGTTTGTTAATGGGTTAATATTTTGGATAATATTTCATACTCATTGTGTTTTTTAAATATGCATAACTAGATTTGTTGTTATTTTGTAATATGTGGTTATAATATTTTCTGGGTTAATTTGTGATTATATTTGAGCTAAAGCGCATCTGTTTTTGTTTTTAAATGTTTTTTTTTGAGAAAATGAATAAATACAAACTGTCTTAAACTTTGCTGTAAGTTAAAAACAAACAAAAAAACATCTAATTTAAATAAAAGAGGAATTTTGCATCGTCCCGAAAATTGCAGATGGCCCCAGAACTACTGCATAAAGTCGAAATTCTATGTGCACAAATTTTAAACGCCTTTGGTTTGTTAAATTTTGTATTTTGTAAGGTCCCAAAATTACATACATACGTGTTATCCTAAGATATCTATTACGAAATACGAATTCTTCATTTTTTTTTAACTTTTCACTGTCCCAAAATATTGTCCCAAAATTTGTATATGTCCCAAAGCAACATGAAGTATATAAATTACAAGTAAATGAACGCATTTTATGCCACTTTTAAGAATTTAAACGTGTCCCAAAATTAAGTGTGAGCTATACAATTTTTTTTTTGTAATTTAAGACATCTTCGAGTGTCTCGCGGGGTTCGGTTTGCATTAAAACGTATTCTTAAACGATTTGCATGTAGTCACAAAAATTTAATGGCCTTATTCATAAAAAATGAAATAGGTTTAAAGAACTTTGTGACACAGTGACATTTTCGTAAAAAATTTCGATTTATAAGCAGCTAAAAAGTCTTCTTTATTTTTTATGAATATGGGGGTAAAACTCCATAAATCGACGCGACACGACTCGAAGTCTAAATGGAAAAGAGCAAGAGAATTTTGCATGGATTTTACGAACTTATGTAAATGCCTCACAAAAAAGGTGGCAATTTGTGTGGACACTTTTATGGTCTAAAAAGTACTTAGAGAGTGTTAAACACGAGTTTTTTGTTTTATTTTAATTCTGTCCCAAAATATGTTAGTTGTCCCAAATGTTATTCAAATACCCCGAAAACACTCAAGAAGTTATTTAAATTGAATTCTGTAGATACCAAGGTTGCATGTTTTTGTTTCTGAAACCACCCCATGGGCGCTTTAATTGAGTAAAAACTTAAAATGAATGCATTTTTTTTTTCAAATTAATAAAATAAGTTCGCGGAATTATTTTTTAGTGCTTTTTCTTAAAAATTTCATATTCTTAATTCAATAATTAATAAATTTTTTATGGTTAATATGCACTGTTTAACAACAAAATTCAACTAGATTTTTACTTTTACTTATTTTTTGGGTATTTTATGAATCAATTTTTTTCTGCTTACATTAACTAATTTGTAACCACTGTTGTTGTTAAGAGTGTAAAATTACTATTTATTTTTAACAAACGAATTTCATTTAAATAATGTTAAAAATGGTACACTTATTAAAAAAAAATACGTATATTTGAATACATATTTTTTTTTGTTTTTGTGTGGATTTAAGTTTTAATTTTTATTTTTTCACAACGAACCCGCTGTTTTTTTTTCACTAGTTAGTTTTTCACCCCTTTTGCGCTACTTTCCCGGCATTTCCGAACCTATAGACATTATTCATGTATTTTTATTATTTTTTAGTGCTTTTTGTTTTGTTTTTTATTTTTGTATTATATTTAAAGTGTAGAAAAAATCAGTCTAACATTTTAAGGCAACATGAGAGCTTTTTCTTATATTTTCTTCCTTTCTTCAAATCGCAATCAGTAATTCCTTTCGTTTATAGATTTTTCAGTTTTACAACTACTTTCTTACACGCGTTTATACCGGTTTCTACCAACCTTGCACAATGGTGCATTTTTCGTTTTTTTTTCACAAAAAAGTAAATTCAAAAATAAAAAATAAACAGAGTGCAATTTATAAAGCATACAAAATAATATGTTGAAAGAAAAAGATGAAGTGTTTTTATAATTTTTGTTTTAATTCTGTCTAAAAATACACCGAAAAAGCAAAAAACAATGAAATTAAACCAAAAATGTGTGTACAATAATAAAAGTAAAAAAAATTATAAATGTATATTTTCGAATAATTTTATTATTCTGTACAAGTTTTCTAATTAAATCGTTTACTTATTTTTCTATATGTTTTTTGGAACTTAATTAAAAAAATATTTTGAAATTTTTTTTTTCATATGTACATACATACAGAGTTCCTTAAAATTTTTTCACAATTAGTTTCTGCAATATTTTTCTTCCAAAAAATAATACACCTACGTATATTTTATTGTAATTTCCTACGCTACTACTTGCTAAACTACATAAATGAATTGTTTTTTAAAAAAATCGTATATTTTTTCTTTACTCTTTTGCGTTTTAGTTGCGCTTTAGTCGCTTTTAAATTGCATATTTTTAATTTTTTAATTAAGTTTTATTAGAACTTCCAAAACCCTTAGCGCTTAGTTTATAACTTATTATTTATACAGTTTTCAGCTAGAAAATTCCATCATTAATTTTATTATTTGGTACCTGTTTTACTTTTTAGGCTATGCGATTTTTGTTTATTATTTTTACGTGCAAATTTAATAAAAAATGCATTTAAAAAATTAAATTTGGAAAAAAATAAACGTACGATGTACATATTTTTTCATATATGGATGTAAATAAAGCTTGCGCACGACTTAAAATTTAAGAAATAGTTAAAAAAAATTAGTTTGACACTAATAGTAAGCAGTTGGTTTCTTTACATAGAGAAGTTTAAGAAAAGAGTTGAAAGTATAGAAAAACGGGCGAAATTAAGAAAAAAATTGAAGAAAAAAATCGCAAGTACGTAAATTAAACTATTGTTCAGGTCAAAATAAAAATGAGGAAAAAACGAGTGTTTACTTTTTAGATACAAATTTTGGAAACTATAACCAAATCCTGAAATAAAAATATTATTTCTACCACTTCATCCATACATATGTATACATGAACTAAATAACGAACAAACGAAAAATGAATAAAAATTTTTCATGCAATTTTTTACCAAATTATAACAACAAATTCAACAAATATCAAAAAAAAAATCAGCATTTGCTCAGAATAAGTAATAAATTTTTATTTTAGATTGGCGTTTTTTAGCTACTCAATTTTAAAAACTTTTGACCAATTTTTTTTGTATATATTTTTACAATGAATTTTTGAACCTTTTGATGCATTTGCACCAAATTTTCAAAGCTGAGCAATATCCACTGACAAGGGTTTAAATCAGTTTAATGCTCCTGTATATAAACTCTTGTTAAAATAATTAACAGGCGATATAAATTTCCATAATTAACTATACGGCTGTGTATGTGAATTGCAGTTTTGAGGTTGCCTCAATTCACATGCAATAGTTATTGTTTTGAAAAAATAAAATAAAAAAATATAATAAAAAATAATGTGAAAATAGAAAATAGAAAACAATTTTTTGTATTTTATACGATTTTTGTGCCATATTTTCTATTGGAAAATTTCTTTTATTCAATATAAAAACTTTTTTACAATCTTCTTTTTCAAATTTACTTTAAAAATTTTTAATTGTGATGTAAATCAAATGCTCATAAAAACCAATAATATTTATATTTCTGTTCCGTTTTATGTATACTATGTATGTAAATAAACAATGTTAACGCGCTTCTTTGTTTGGCTTTTATACATTTTGTTCTTTGCTTTTCTTGCTTGGCATAACGGCTATGGTTAAAATATGTAGATATATATATATATGTGTGTATGTATTTATGCATATGTATATGTGTGTATGTGTATGCGCTATACTTATTACGTAGGTACAGTAGGAAGATTTGCAATTGCTCTAGGAATGAGTATGTATCTGTTGTTTATCTGTATGAATTAAAAATTTTTTTTTTCAGTTTTTATAACCCTGAAAGTATGCTACAATTTCTTATTGTGTGTTTCTGCTATGCATTATAAACTACTTAGCGCTTTATTTATAAGCTTTTTTCATATTTTTTTTGTTAATTATTTTTCATCTTTTAGCGTTTTTTGATTCCGTGCTTAAGATTACAACAATCTTACATAATTGAACAAATTAAATTATTAAACTAAAACTAAATCTTATACAGTAACTATATGCAATAATAGTTAATTAGTAAATCTTACGTACTAGTGGTTTTTTATCTCTTTTGTTTTTACCGCTTTTCTAGGCTGCCATATGAAGGCGCCATTTCGGCGTTTAAATTCAACAACTTTGTAAATTTTTCAGTTCAACAACCGCAAATGAACAGCACCCACAGCTGCTGCTAAACGTCGCTGCATTCCGGCAGCGAGTCGCGTTCCAACTGCGCCACATACGCCTTGCCTTGTTGCTCTACCGTCACACCCTCTGCCTCAACCTCTTTATTCTCTGTCTCAACTGAGCACACAGCCGTCGCTCCAGCAGCGTTCTCCATACTTGTCTCTGCTTTTGTTTCACACCCCGTCGTCGCTGTGGCTTCTTGCGCCGCCTTTACCGCCTCACTCTGCGTACGCTCTTTGCTCTCCTCCGCGCGCTCTTCACGCTTTGCCTTCTCCGCCTCCTTCAGCTCGGCGTCTTTGTGCTCCGACATTAGCTTCCACATATTAAAGAATTGCTCACGTCGCTGCATTTCATAGACTAGCAGTTCAGCTTCGTCTTCGGAGCTGCTGCTGCTCACCGCGCGCATCTGCACATGCGCGGTACTCATACCCGCCGGCATGGCTNACATTAGCTTCCACATATTAAAGAATTGCTCACGTCGCTGCATTTCATAGTTTAGCAGCTCAGCTTCGTCTTCGGAGCTGCTGCTGCTCACCGCGCGCATCTGCACATGCGCGGTACTCATACCCGCCGGCGTGGCCCCTATACCACTAACGCTCGCTATTTCTGTGTTAGCTGCGCAGTTTTCCTCCGCTGCGACAGCCTTTGCGTCGTCGTCCGTGTACGTGTCCACATCTGCTCCCGCACCACTTAGTACGCTGCTGCCCATCAGATGCGAGGTGGGCGATTCGAGGCTGCTGCCCAGTATGGGAGTGAGTCCTTCGCCACGCCCGCGCTCGCGCTCCTGCTGCAATTCATCAAATTCGTGCAACTCTTGCTGCATGGAGCTGCGACGCGCATTTACCGCGCGCATCGCGACCAGCACACCCGCCGCAGCAGTGGCCATTTCCTCCTCTTCGCTCAGTCCGTCATCACCGTCGCGTACGGGATCGTATTCGCGTATGCCGAACTCACCGACTGGTACATAGTAGCCATTCATGGCGACCAGGTAGACCACGCGGCTGAAGGGCGAACGGAAAAGCAGATCGCGATGACCGGGCATCCAGAAGTGCACCACATAACCAACCATGCCGATACAGGGCAGCCAATCTTTCCAGGCCGAGCGACCACCTTTTGCGCGCATTTCTTCGCTGGGCCAAAACATGTTGAAACGCCGGCCGACGTCAATGCGGTCGAAGATCTGTAGCGAAAATAGAAATTTTAGTTTGAAAATAAATTTTGTTTAAAGCGGCATTTACCTCAAAGTCATCGATGATGACGACTTTCTTGTAGAGCCCGATGCGCGGCACGTGACCCGCAGCCGCCAGCGAAGCCACCATGTCGGCGCTGTTCGACTTGCCGCACATCTCTGGCACACCGCTGCGCTCGTTAGCAGCCAGCGCCGCTGCTGCTGTCAGACTGATTGGCCCCTTTGATTTGCGTGGATAGTCACCGGGCGTCGTTATGATGCTGCCAATGCCGAGGCTGCCCGAGGAGCTTGATATCTTTGTGTACCGTGGACTGCTACTCCCAGGCTGCAACTCCATGCCACTGATGCCAGCATGTGGCTCCAGCTGCCGCGCCGATTCGGCCGATTTCGTTGTGGTCGTTGCTGGACTGTTGTTGGCTTCAGCTACACTTGCGCCACCGCCACCGCTACTGGTGCTGGCTATTGGCAGTGTTACACGGCGTTCGCGTTCAGTACGCGATAACGAATGCGATACGCGTATGCCTACACCGCGCAACTGTTCGCGCTCGCGTTCGTGCTCTTGCTCGCGTTCTCGATTCAGCAGTCCAGCGAGCAGCGCAGGCTTTGCAGTCACCACGGGACAGCGCCACAGTGGCGTCACCACCGCGCCATCACTGCCGAACTGCGTGCCGAGACTGCCACCTATGCTAGTGGGCACTGTGACGCCGTGCACTGGCCGACAGCTAAAGAGGCTGCCCACTGTAAGGGTGTTGTAGAGTGGCGCTGAGATGTAAATGGGTGCAATATCACCACCAGACTCCCCGCTGCCAACTGTTGCGCTACCCATGCCGCCGGCGGCACCGATGCCAAGGTTGGAAGTCTCCATCGCCGAGCCAGAGCTACAACCTTGCCGACAGCGCTCGCGTATTCGCTGCCACCAATCCAGCACGTTCGATTTGATGGATTCGAGTGTGATAGCGCCGCCGATGACCTTGCAGAGCTGCTCATTCGTATCGGCGTAGGAGGTCGTGAGCGGCGAAACGTAAATGGGGTAGCCGATGGGCTGATCACAGCTGGAGTTGATGATGTTCCGCAGCGCTTGCTTGGCGTTTTGTATGCTGCCTCGTTCAGGATTGCGGTTGCGCAGATATATGAGCTCCTGCTGCTGCCCCGCCCAGAGGCCGCGCACGCACTCGCGATTCAGCTTGATGACGCGGAAGCTAAGGAAGCGTTTCGTCAGCCTGATGATGCGGTACTCGTCAGAGCCATCCTCCATGACATGTCGCAATGCGAGCAAGTTGGGCGCGCCTCTAAGCACCGCGCTCCGCCAAACCGGATCCGCCTCGTGCGATATCACCAAATCCTTGGCACAGGTGTCAATCGCCTCGTACAGAGCGTCCGGGTAGTGAAACTCATCTGGGTTCGAAATGTGGTCTTGCTGCAGCTTTAGCGCCATCTTTACCGCGGGCGCCACAACGGCATGCAGCAGTTCCATGTCGGCGAAAACCCACTCATCGCGCGGCGATTGAATGCGAAAGTCGCCCTTAAATAGCTGGTGCAGGCCATGCAAGAAGAATTCCACGCCGGTGAGAGAACTGTGCGACGCGTTGGCCAGCGATCGCCGCGCCAGCAACCCCAAAGCCAAACAAAGTGAAACTATTGGCGAGTCCTTCGTTACGCTTGGTACTTTCAGCTTCAGTAACGGCCGATTGGGCTCCTCCGAAGCAGCGCGCTCTGTGCCGCCATTGGACACGTTAAACGCAGTTGCCGCAGCCGCACTAGCCGTGGGCGACGCCTCCTTGCGCAGTGTTTTTAACGGTGCGGCGCCAGTGCCTCCCTTGCCACGCATCTGTTGGCCCAAGGTGGGCATCTTCGCCGCCGCTGAGATGCTGGCGCCCACTGTCGCGGCACTATTGGCAAAGCTATTGTCGAGCGGCGCATGCGTGCCACCGGCTGACATGTAGCCGCCGCCACCACCGCTTCCGATTGAGAGGCCTGCGCCACTCAGACCCGGCGCTGACTCCGACGTCTGCCGCGAAATGTTGGCGAAAGACGGCGAGATGGCGATATGTTCCGACGAGTTGATCGTTGTGCTGCCGCTCATGGTTGCGCTCTTCTGCGGGCGCGTGCGCAGCTGCTGTTGTGACTGTGACTTGATTGCAGTGGTTGTGGCGGTGGTGGAGAGATTGGGAGTGCTCTTCGAGTCATTGTAGGCGTTGCTGGTGTTGTTAGTAGGCGTGTGAGGCGGTGGCGGCGCGCTGGCCGCTGTGCTGGCGGTATTGGGCGCAGAGGCTGCGGGCACTGTGGGGTTCAGATTTTCTTTGCGCTTGTCGTAGCAGTAGTTGATCCAGCTGAGGTAGACGTAGCAGAAGCTGGAGCGCGTGATGCCAACAGCGCGGAAATCGAAGTCCTCATCGAGATTGTAGTTAAAAATGGGATCGAGATCGACAAACTGGCGGCTAAGTGTGTGCTGCAGAGCCTCCTGGATGGGCGCTGAGGCAAGCCACTGCTCGAGCTTGGGATTCTTGATGACGTAGTAAATGATGCTCTGGAAAATATTCCAAAATTGATGTTCAATTTTTTTTAAAGCTTGCCAAACATGCTTACCTTTATGTAGTAGGTGATGAGCACCTTACGGTATTCAAAGACCTGCAGCGTAGCGCTCGCCAAGTTATCCGATATCGAGTAGCCCTCCAGCACATACTGCGCCGCCACCACCTGCCAGGCCAGCCAGCGTGTGGAGAACATCGCATTCACGCTCAGCATGCGCGGCAAGTGACCTGGATCACAGCAGCAGCATCCGTCGTTGTCCTCCACATCCTCCGTGATAGCCTCCACCTCACGCTGCTGACAGTATGTGCCACGAAATTCCAAGCCGCGCATTTGAAAGGTACACAGCCCATTGCCCAGCTCGATAATGTGCACCAGGCAGTTAAGGTAGTCCGAGGCGAGTACTAGAGAAAGAAACCAAGTTTACAGATTAACTCTGCAAAACACTTAAATGCGTCCAGAAAGCTTACCGAAACAGTCGCCTTGATTGACATTGCCCCAACGACCCATTAGCAGATCGCCGCACAGCGAGTGCTGTAGTGAGCGCGTCAAATGCTCATAAAAAATGCTGTTCAAGTTGTTATCGTCCGCGCCCAAATCGCGCTCCAGCTGTGAGCTCAAGCGCGTATTGGAATGATCGATGCGGCGAGTGTTGTAGTCGCGCTCCCAGAATTTGATCGGACGCACGTAGGAGGTGAGAAAGATGGCGCTGCCGAGGAAGGGATTGAGTGGCGTGGAGAGTATGGCCGAGACGCCGGCCTGCAGGAAGAGCATGGCAGAGTGTGGAACGCTGAATGGCTGGGCGAAAGCGTGGAAGGCCGAGCCCCAGGTTATTTGCCAGGGCGCGATGTAGGTAACGATGAATTGTAGCTAAACGTCGAGAGAAAAAGAAAAGAGGGAGTAAAAAAAAGATACTTGGAATTGGCGCTTACCTTTAGCAGAAAATCACAGCACTTGCGGAAGGCTAGCGACATAAAGAAGTAATCGATCAGGAACGTTTCGCTTGCAAAGGCAAAATCGTACCGAAAGAACAACACGGTGAATATCACAATCAGATACTGGTTTGTGGGATCCGAATAAGCGTTGCGCATCACTACAAGGAGAGAGAATGTAATAAACAAAATTTTCGCACCCCCTGACACTCACGTTTCAGAGCACAAACCGCCACCACTAGCGTGCCCCAAGCAATGCCGAATTTGTTGACAACGATCTGGGCGTCCGCAGTCACCGCCGAGATAGCCAGCAACGGAAACATTACATTCCGCTCCAGCATGCACAGGTAGATGTACACTTTCTCAAACCACATCACCTTCGGCGCGTGCGATACCTCGAACTGGCCGTACTCCTTCTGCCGCAGTATGGGGCGCGCGAAGCATAGCCATGGCATATGTTTGCGCATCTGCGGGATGATGTAGTGCAGCAGCAGGCCCAGGCCGCCTGTGAACGCATACAGCACAATGTTGAGATCAGGCTGCAGCACTGTGAAGACGGTACTGCAATGCAGGCCGAAGACGATGGCCGCTAGCAGCGTTGTCACCACCAGATCGTTCTTGAGGCGCATATTCACGGTAGCCTGCAGCTTCTTGGGTAGTGGATCGGGCGAATCGCTATCATTGTCTGCACCGCTCGCATTGGCGGCGCTGGCTGCCAAGGCGCCCGTATCCACGTCGGCGCACACGCCACCAGCGGTGAGTGTGGACATGTCGCCCGGATTGGTGGTCGAAGAGCTGGACATTTTGTCATCCTCATCAGCTGCTGGGGGTGCGATCTCCTCAGCCTCCATGTCGGCTGTGGATGAAATGGCAACCTGTGCTGGCTGTGTTGGAGGGGCCTCCACTGAAGTTGTTAGTGTGTGCTGCTGCAGTCGTTCCTTGGAACCGCCGGGGCCAATAGGCGCGTTGGTAGGCGTAGTTGCAGCGGTCTCCGTTCCTAAATCCAGATTCTCATTTTCCAGTAATTGCACACCGCTTGCATTTTCTGTACACGTTGCGCCATTATGTGCGCTTTCCATGCCGGTCGCGCTACCATTCGCCACTGAGATATAAGAGTTCGAAGTGGTCATGCCCTTTTTGTTGCTAGACAGGGTTTTTGCAAGCGTTTGACTGCTGCTCGCCAGCGAAGACGCCTTCGATTTGCTGCTCTTGCGCTCTATTTCGAGATTTGTGCGATCGATCTCTGCGCGCTCACTACCTTCAGCCGCCATCTTATCGTCTATCGCGNAGACGCCTTCGATTTGCTGCTCTTGCGCTCTATTTCGAGATTTGTGCGATAGATCTCCGCGCGCTCACTACCTTCAGCCGCCATCTTATCGTCTATCGCCGACATTTCAATTTGTTCCTGGCGCGCGCTCGTGCTTTTCGTGCGTCCTTTGAGCGTGGTGTTTGTGGTGAGTTTTTGGCTACTCGCTACGCTGCCATTAATGGTAGCGGCGCTCAGCTCATCGTCATCGTCGTCATCGTGGTAGGTGCTGACAATGCAGTTCTTAATGAGCGCCCACAGGTGGCTGAAGTCGCTGGCGGATCGCGAAAGGTGGTAGCCCAGCGGCACGAGTATGGCGCAGAATAGGGAGAAAACAATGAATTGGGTGCCGCGACCCTCGGCCAGCGCGCTGTACAGTGGTCCGTAGAGCAGCATGACGCCAAGAATGGAGCGCAGTACGCAGAGAAATGAGCCTGTGGGTGGGGAGAAGAAAACACAAGATTAAGAAAAAATTCAAACAGGACGTTTCACCCAAGTAACTCACCTAAGAGACTGCCAGCGGCATTGCCGCCGAAGACGTGCATGTCAATTTGCTCCAGCAGATACATCAGAAACGTGTTTATCTGCGGACACAGCCCCAGCGAGAAGATTATCGGGAAGCATAGTAGGAAGACGTACATTATTTGAAGTACAGCTGCGGTCAACAACAGCGGCGAATAGCGGATACCGAAAAAGCTCAACTCTTCCGGCGGTGCGCGCTGCTGCTCGTACTCACGCTTGAGCCGCTCGCAAAGCAACAGTATCCCACTACAAATGCAGAAGTAGATGGCGCGCGAGTAGGCCACCGTCTTGTTGAAGCCGTGTATGGGCGACGCCGCGTCTGGCTGAACGCTCTTCACCAATGAGTACTGCGCGCTCGCTATGACGGCACAGAAGAGAAAGGCACACAGGTCCTTGTAGTAGCCCAGTTGGAGTATGGTGGCGCCGAGGTAGGCGACCGCCGCGCACAACAACACCGCCAACACTATGTGCAGCCAGTGCAGATCGCGGTCGAAGAGCGCCAGCAGCTCCAGGCGGTCCATTGAGATTTTGAATTCGTGCTCGTAGCCGCAACATTTGAAGCGGTACTTGTAGTAGCTCTTCGGCGCCACCGGCTTTTCGGTCGATAGCATGCAGGCGGGGCGCCAGTAGTCGCAGTAGCTTTCAATGTGATGCCCATCCATGTTGAGTATGGCCGCGCCTGCTCCAGTGGTGTTGCTGCCACTGCCCGAGCGCCCCTGCGATGATCGCTGTTGGCCCTCATCGTTTAGTACGTTGATGAGCCCTTGTATGGAGAGTCCCGCACCGTTGTAGACAGTGCGCGCGTTTAATGATGACGAAGCGACCACGACTCCGAGCGGCGGGTGCAGATTGCGAATGGGCGCCGTCGTTGCGCCTGATTGGCTGCTCAGCTGTGCCGATTGCAGTTCATGCGCGTGCGAGTAGTCGCCGATAGAGGAGTTGCCAGGCTCTGATATTTGCTTCGAGTTGCGCCGCACCTTGTCGCGATAGTACGTGCGGTCCGCCACCGAGAGGCCGTCTGTGGAGGTGGCAGGGTAAGTATTGAGCGCCTGTATTGCGTCCTGGTAGAACTGGAAGTGCGCGCTGGACATGTTGCCGGGCGCGGTAGCACCGATGCCGATTGCGCTTGTGTTTGACGCGCCTGCTATGCCTCCGATAGCCGGAGTTATGCCCTGCTGTGCGCCCTCAGAGCGGCCGTGTTCGGTCATCAGCCAGAGCATTTTGTGAATGTCCGCCGAGAACGAGTCGGCACTGATGCTGCGCGACGACGTAGAGGATGAGGTGCGCGAGGCCGCTTTTGAAGTGGTGCTATGCTGCGAATTGAATGGCACCAGCGACATTTCTGTGCTCGTAGAGGCACCGCCGCCACTGCCGACTCGACGTTTGTGAAGTTGAGAGCCGCCACTGCTGCCATGCATTGTCTCGTTCACCTCGCGATATTTTACGACCTTTGGTATTGCACCCAGATTTTTCCCATTGCCGGTGCCCCCTCCTATGTTTGGAGTCTGCTTTCTGCCGCACTCCAGGCCTTCTTCCAGATCTTTCTTCGTCTTTAGCGCGTCCACCTTCACCTTCGGCGATGTGACGCTTACTGCCGCCTCCATGCCCGAGAGCAGCATGTCCTTCGAGCTGGCGCTCACTTGCTCACAGTCGCTAGATGGGCAGCCGGAATCGCCTTCGCCGCGCGCGGCATGCTGCGGCCGCATCCCGTAAGCGTGTTGAGGGGCGCCGATTCCTACACTGACGTGTTGACTAGCCAAATTTTTGTGCTTCTGCAGCGCCGCTATTTCCATGTACATGTCCTGCTCAGCAGCCTTGACTTTGGCATTAGTTTGCTGCCAGGATTTACCACTGAGCAGCGGCGAGCGTGAGCCGTTGTTGTCCGTCTCCGAATCAGTGGAATGTAGGCGTTGACGTAAGGACTGCGAGGTTGACGGCTTTTCATCGTCCTGCGTATGTGTGACGGCAGCGCGTGAGGGTGGTGAACGCACTGGCTGCCGCTGCTTTGTCGCAGGCTCATCGATGTCGTCCTCGCTGTCGGGCGCATAGACATGTGCCTTCCGGTTGTTCTCCGCCGCAGAGCGTTTCAAATCCTGCTGGATTTGCTCCAGGCCGTTGAGTATGTGATCGAAGTCGTCAGTAAAATCCGTCTTTGGCTGGTTTACAGGCTGCGCTTCGCAAACTGAAGGTTTTATTTCTATGCTGAGCGCGTGCTCCAAGTCGTCATCGAAGTCCTTGAACTCGTCATCCTCGTCGTTATCTACCTCATCGTCATCATCATCTGCCAGTATATTTCCGACGTCAGACTCTGCGCTGTGATGATGACAGCCCAACGCTTTGCGTCTGTGACGTATTGGTACATCGTCCACCACGTCATCGACGTTGTCATCGTCCAGCTCTATGCCCTCGTTTTCCTCATGACCATCCTCAATGTCTGCCTCGTCCTCGTCCTCCTCATTTTCAAGGCCACCACATTCAACCAGCTCGGCATCGTTGAGCTCCAGCGCGCACTCACTGCGTTGGGGCTCCACATCTAGCGACGAGGCGCGCTCGTCCGACTGCTCTACGATAGGCGACACCGGCTCAATGAGCGCCGTGGTAGAACCGCTTGTGCCGAAATTTAAACTGCTACTGCCACCGCTGCTGCTGCTGGCGCCACCAAAGCTGCCGCCGAATTTTGGACACAGATTCAAATGCGGGTTGCGCACCAAACACTTGCTGGGCGGCGGCAAGAGTGCCGACTGCGGGTTCTTTATCATTTGCTCTCCATTTATCGCCTCCACGCTGTTCGGGTGTGGGCTTAGGTTCGATACGGAGGGGCGCGGGCAGGAGATTTCGAGTGCGGCACTTTTAATTCGACGCACCGTCGGCTGCTGACCCGAAGAAAGCGCCGCGGCGGCTAAAACGCCGGATAGCGTATGATTCGGAGCACCCCCACCACTACCTGCGCCACTTTTGTACAGGGTAGTCGCGTTGGAATGTCGTCGTCTTTTCATGCCGCTGCCGCTGCCTCCGCTGCCGCCCGCTCCCGACTTGGCATTGCCGACGGGTAGCTGGAGCGCCGACATGGTGCTGCTTGAGTCTTTGCGTATGTTGGCGACTCCGTGGTGATGATGATGGTGGTGGTGATGTGGCGCGCGGTAGAACTGCGGCTGATGATGTGGATAATGCGAGTTGAAGGGCTGTTGTTGCTGCAGTAAGAAGGCGGCGCGGTTATCGTTGCGGCAGTCGAGTTGTTCTATACCGAAATCAGACTTCGTGTAGCTGTCGTCTTCAATGTAGACATCAGAGGAGGAGCCTATGGGTAAAGTAAGAATTAGAATAGGTATTATCACAGCCTGCTGGGCTTAACTCACCCAATATCCAGGACTGCAGCGCGCGCACACGCGTATCCATATGTCCCGACACGCCAGTTGCGCTGCCGCCTAGTCCACTTAAGTCCAGTTCATCATCGTCCAGTATATCACCGCCGCCTATTCCAGCCAGCGCACTGCTACTACTCGCGCCACTGGACGCGTGATGCGGCTGATGTTCGTGGTGAATGGGCAGGAAGAGGCGATTTTGTTGCTTGACGCGTTCGTCATGTGTCTCAGAGCTGCGGTGACGCTGCAACCGTGTATTTTTATGGGCAGATGGCAACATGGCGCCGCCCGAGGAACTCGACATATTCGTTGTTGGGATAGCTGAAGTTGCGTTTGTGGTGGTGAGCGTCAGCGTTGCTGTGGTAGAAAAGTTCGTTGTGGCAGTTCGATGTGCGACAGCAGCAGTAGACATTTTTGTTGCTGATGCTGATTTGCCCACCACACCGGCAGCTGTAGCTGTTTGGCCACTTTGTGGATGCAGGAAGGTTTCGTTGCGCGCTGTGGCAACACTTGTTGCAATAGTATCAGACTGATTGCGAATAAGTTTCGTAGCAATGCACGATTCGGCGCCCGCGTCTAGGCTACCCTGACGTTCGAGTCGACGACGCTGATGGCGGCGTTTAAATTCTTCCGATGATTTGCGTAGTAGGTGTGGCAAGTGGCGTGTGGTGGTGATGTTGCTGGTACTGCCGGGAGCGGCAGCGCTGCTGTGGTGTGCGGTCGCGTCGCTGATGCAAGCGTTCAAATGTTCGCTTTCGTGCTCCGGATAGACGCTGAGGCCGCCGGCGGCAGGAGCATTCGTGGAACGTATGGATTTTGTAACACTCAGCGAACCGGCGAGAGATTGTTGATCTTGCTGGCTGTTGCCAGATATGACGGAGGGGGGATAGAATAACATTTCGATGGACTCGGAGCTGTTTTTGCGATGTACGTCCACTTTGAGGTCTGCAAGGAAAGACAAATTTCAGAGTTGTTTATAAAATTGATAAATTTCTTGTAACTCACCAATTATGCTATTCACATTCTCCATTGACATCATGCTGTTCTCTTCACTGGCCTCGTTGATGGCCTGCTCCACAGAATTGCGTGAGCCATCGTTGCGCATAACTTTCATTTCGATGCCCGTCTCATTCTCACTGCAAGCAAACAGGCAAATGAAGATAAACAACAGCACAAAATTCACCAAACAAACGCTTAATGAGCTAGAAACGGATGAGCTAGTTGCCAAACAAGACAGCAACACCACTTGGCGTGAACTTAAACGCGCTGCTTGTTGTTTATAAACAAACAACATGCCACGTTATCGCACATGGATATGTGTAGTGGGCCGTATACACACACAAACGCACTCTTACCACAACATACCCGCTAGCAGGGTAGCGCAGAGTTCAGAATCCTACCTCACCTTTGCCTTTNAACATGCCACGTTATCGCACATGGATATGTGTAGTGGGCCGTATACACACTCAAACGCACTCTTAATACAACATACCCGCTAGCAGGGTAGCGCAGAGTTCAGAATCCTACCTCACCTTTGCCTTTGCACACCTCCCGCACACCTCCAAGGATTTCGCGTATTAAACACAAATACTTTATAAACAAATTTTTATTTCATAAGCGCGTATGTGAGTGTGTTGGTATGTGGGTATGTGTTCACAACAATGCACGTGGCCTTGTGCAGTTAAAATGCTGCCTTACCAAACTGACTACCCATCAAACTACTGTCATATGCACGACGGAAGGCTGTGTTGACCTTGTAGGAAACCTTGTGTGACAAATTTCACCTTTAGGAAGGTACATACGTACGTTTGTACATATATACAATTATCACCTTAAA